AATGGTAACGACTTAGCAAGGCTCTTCTAAAGGTTACATGTGGTAATGCGCACTTCATACATAATCCACAGTCCCCTCTTCCCCCGATGATACCCCATGACAAGAGGGAATATCTTTGAAGGAAAAAAACCCTTATTCATAAAGAGGGGCCTTCCAAGGTTTCCAAATATTTGCAGACCCCAGTAACACACATGCTCTCTCAACTTTAATATATTTTAGGAGAAAAGGCACATTGAGATCTATTAGAACATTTCTGACCTCTTGCTTATGTCCGGACAAACATGCTTGTGACTCATTTGCTTCCATCTGAGAACCAACTGGCTGGTCAGAAATCACTGTCAGCAAAGTACAGCAAATTAGTACAGAACAGTATCAAGCTAAAAGCACCAGGCCACTCTGCAAGGAAACCTTTTCATTATTCCAAACAAATCATTTTTGCTTACATATAAGGAGGAAGCAGTGTGGTCTAATCCTTCCCCACTCGCGGCAAGAACAGCAAATTGAAACTCAGGGGTCCTGGCCTTGCCATCTGAAAGGTGACCTTAGATTAAGTTTTTTAAAAAATTTAATATTCATTTAGTCAACAACTATTTCCTGAGAGTGTCCGTAAGATCCCTGTTCTCATGTTATTTATATTCAGATGGAAGAAGAAAGACATCATATAACAGACAGAAGGACAGGCAGGGAGAATTTAGCAGATAGTGATGGTTACAAGAAAATTAAAGAGGTTATGATATAGATTGTGACTAGGGACCTACTTTAGGATGCAGTCATTTTAGAAATGGTGACATTTAAGCTAAAATCAGAGGAAGTAACTTCTTCTTTCTGGACATCGTGTCCTTTTCTATAAAATGTGACTATGGAACTGGCAGGCTTTCCAAAGTCTCCTCTGGTTCCAGGAAACGGTTTCCACACAGCTATTAAAGACATATTATATGTATGGGTAATTTACATGTGTGGGATATATGTGTGTAGGCACATATATTTTTAACATCAAATATTATCCTATGCTTGATTAAGCAAATCATTTATGGCAGTGAGTCTTAGCTTTGAAGACATTTAAGGTAACAGAAAATTCTTTGTAAGAAACTAAATCTAGCTTTGCATGCTGAACCGATCCTACTGTTCATTTTCTGAGCTCTGATAAAGAAGTGTGTATTTTGTTAATGTTTTGGCAAATGAAGCCAAACTGGCCTCTGACCAGAAGAGTCAATATGTCCTTGCATGTTTCAAAGTAGGCAAAATGCAGGAATTTGTAATAAGATTACAAGTTTTCTTAAACTGGGGCATCTATGGCTCAGTCAGTTAAGAGTCCAACTCTTGATCTCAGCTCAGATCTTGATCCCAGGGTCATGAGTTCAAGCCTTCCTGCACTGGACTCCATGCTGGGCATGGCGCCTACTTAAAAATAATAGTAAGTTTTCTTAAACTAATTTTTTCTGGTGATCACTTAGAACCACAAATCCAGACAGATTGAAATTTAAAGAGTGCAACTCTAAGCCACATGTCCCTTTTTATACAAAAACAGAAAAAACTATGAGGTGAAGGGGTATGGAATTTTTTGAGGGAACATCAGTATTTCGGCCCATATTTTTCATGCACCAGTTAACTAGAAAATTACAAAACCTGAAAAACTCAGATAAATTGTACCAAGGGAATGAACACCATACATTCATCCCTTCCCACTCCCAAAAACTTTCTCTCCCTCCCTTCTCCCCTGTCCTCCATGCCAGGGCACTTTTGTGGAATGGGAAGGAAGGCCTCTCAGGCAGTTGAAAAATGAGGGCCTCTGAATTTTTAATTCTGTTAACTAATCATTAGAAAACTAGAAATTGCTGTCTCTCTGAGAACCAGTGAGGTAGCAGGCTCCACAGACCCTGTTTAATTTTGCAGGAGCTGGCTGGCTTCCCAGCAACACATTGATTTGTGGGGCCACTACTCTGGGCACCTCCAGGATAATTAAATATTAAGTCCTTCTTTGATGTACGCAAAGTCTGCCTAAGAGGATTACCAGCCACAGCATAAGTAGCAGTCCTACATTTTCTGGTAATTGAACATTGCAATATCATTATCTATTCTTATCTTTGCTCAGTAAGAATCTGCCTCTACCCTCAATACTACCTTTGAGAATGAAGAAAGGGATAAGGAACAGAGAAAATGTGAGCCCGTGCAGTCAACATTCTGGGGTCTTCTAGGTGTCTGGGATAGAGAGATGAGGAAGAGTTTAGTGTGTGTGGAAGAAATGACAGTGAGCAAACCATGCTCTATCTCCTCCAGTTCAAGGTTCCACTTTGCACACCAAGTAGACCAGGCTCAGTTTCAGAATCCTCTCTAGGGCAATAAAGCAACAGAGGAGGGAGGGCGGCCAAGACCTATGCTTACAAAGGATTTGTCCACCAGGCCCTGATCTTTCTACTGCTCTAGTGAAAGGTAAAAACAATAATGGAGATGACCTCCAACATAAACTCTGGACACAGTTCTGTAACATTCTAAAAGTTGCTGCTGTTTCCACTGTGAAGTGGCAAGTTTTCTGCATTCATTTTCCATGTAGTGAACAGTTATCTAGAGTTATAGGCAGAGTTTCTTGACCAAATTCACTTGCCCTCCAAAACAGATTTGAATCGCAATGCCAGGCTGACACAGAATACTTCATTTTAATGGAAGGAGGAGGAGAAACTCACTGACTTCATTTATTTGGGGAAGAAAACTATAGATGAACAGCATAATTAAGCCATGAGGGTAGTTTCTGTATTTCTGCTACCAAATACTTGAAGAAACTCAGCTCATTAGCTTCTAAGAACAGGGAAACTGCTCTTCTACAAGGACAAAGGAAAAGGGGGGAGAACATAAAAAGATTAAGGGGGCAGAAGGTGAATTTTACTTGAGTCAGAGATGCTGGGAGAGATGTTTTCTAAGGGCCTGAAAATGCAGTGACATAAGGTTCTACATACACACAGACAGCAAAGGAGAGAAGCCAGACCGTGCTCGGTGAAATAGTCCAGTCAGTTCAGAAAAGTACACGGAAAAGGAATCTTAGATCCTGTTTTTGGAAAAAGTGTCGCTATAAAGAAATTAAAATCTCAGAAATAACCAGAAATCACTGGAATCCTATAAATGTTGGAACTTGTTCTTTGGTTAATTGGAAAGTGAAGGAAAGCTTAAGAGAAGAAATAGTGGTTATACTCATGCTATTTCTGAAGCATTTTGCCCCAAATATCAAAGTGTCTATTCTACTGTTTCAACATGACAGAGAAGATGGATGTTTTCCCCTTTCCCTGGTCTCCGTATTGTTTTGTAATATTGTTGGTATAGAGACCGGACATAACATGAAGCGAGGCTCCAACCAGAGAAACCAGCCCCATGGTCCCACCCGGCTCCAGCCATCGAGGAAGAGGAAACTGAGCAAGGCTGAGAACTTGGAAACTGGAGGTTCTATCAGAAAAGCACCTAAGAGCAGGAGCATTCATTTGTTTCAGAATGAGTCACAATCCACGATCCCATGTGGCAAACATAACATAACCTAATTCTGAGCTTACCTCGGAGATGCTACATGAAACTTCCTGTCGCTAAAACCAGCATAACTCTAACGTTGACTACGCCAGAGACCTGGAATTATACTTCATCGTCTATTGCATTTGTGTTCATAGACTGCTCTTTAAAAAGACTGTTAGTGATCTCTTAATGTAATTCAAGGCAAAATGTTGAAACTAAATATGTCGGTAAGGTCAAGGGGCTTCAGAAAAGAGTATTATTCAGATACCAGTGACTTTCATAATACAATCCATTTCAGCCATTTGGCAAGATTAGAGGATCTCTGATAAGTCCATCTTTTCTGCATCGCAAATTCTCTAACTCAAAAGAATAGATAATAGTATTTACCTCTTTCTCTCATATAGGGAAATAAGAATACATAAGATAATAATTATGAAGATGTTCTGAGATGAGTCTCAAGATATTGTTATTATCTGATTCACTGTTAAAAAAAAGAAATTCACTGTTCTTTCAATGTAGTAATAAGGACATAAATATTAATTACAGAACAAAGCTTTAAAATTAGAAGGTAAATTGAGTTGCAGTCAGACTTCCAGGAAACTCTCTTGCAGAGTAGATTATGTGGGAAGTGTTATTTTATTGGCATATAGTCTACCCTGCAGGCTAACGCACTTGACTGAGATAACTGATCCTTACATCCTATGTCTTTTAGGATGCATCAATTTACAGTTTGAGCCAAACTTCAATGACCACCATATTTCTTTGATTTAGGAATCAGCATTCCCATTTACTCAATCAACAAGTATCCAAGCTCAGAGTATGTGCACAGCATACTTAGGGGAATTCAAAAGACAATAATACATCCTCCAGGGCTTCTGAGTTTCCACAGTAGTGGGGAGACAAGACTTTAATAGTAATGATGATGATGATAATAACAATAATAATACCCGATACACAATTAAAGCTCAAATGTGAGGAATTCAAAGTCTGAAATGGTCAGGGAAGATTGCAGAGAGATGATGGAGCGAGTCTTGAAGGATGGGATGGAGAAACTGAGATCTTGTGTGTGTGCTACATTATTGATCTAGGTACAGAAGAGAGATGAGGCACCTGCCTGCTTGGGCAGAGTATGAAAAGAATGAATTAGCTAAACTGCACACTGCATTTCCATTTCCATCCGCCTTTCTCCAGGGACAGCGAGAGCTGCGATAATTAACTGATACTGTGAAGAATCCTGACTATAGCCCACGAAGAGAAAAATGATCCACACACGTGAGGTGAAAAGAGACATCACCTCCAGTGCATAAGCATTTTCAAACAGATGGAAAAACCCAAACCAACTCTGCTGTACATATTTAACTTCTAAACGGCTGGATTGAGGAACATAGTGGAAAGTTGGCATCACCAAGTTGATTATTCCCTGGAGCGTCATTGAAAGTAATCAAGAAATAAGCTGCAATGATTTTGAATAGGGACAACATTCAATAGCCAGATGGATGCTCCCTTACCTGTCTCTGGGGCCAAGTGGCTTTGAGAATGGCTTCCGTTCTAAAGAACACAAGGAGCTTGCCATCCTCCTCCGTCAGGTTAAAGGACTGTCCCCAAATCTGCAGCACCTGAATGCGGGGTCTCATGGGTCGGGTGTCATCAGCACAGAAGGGCCGCAGCCACTCTAGCAGGTCCTCGGCGGAAACCAGGTCTTCTCTGAAGGGCAAAATCAAGGGTTAGATAGAAACTCTGAAGTCGGGGCGCCTGGGTGGCTTGGTCATTAAGCGTCTGCCTTCAGCTCAGGTCATGATCCCGGGGTCCTGGGATCAAGCCCCACATCGGGCTCCCTGCTTAGCAGGAAGCCTGCTTCTCCCTCTCCCACTCCCCCTGCTTGTGTTCCCTCTCTCGCTCTCTCTCTCTGTCAAATAAATAAATAAAATCTTAAAAAAAAAAAAAAAAGAAAGAAAGAAACTCTTAAGTCTTTAAAAAAAAAAAAAAAATCCCAGTAATCAAATGTGGCGATTGACCCAAAGACTGGTTTGTTGGGTGACACTGTGTTGTTTTTTGGGGTTTTTTTTGTTTTTTTTTGTCCTACTGAGAAGAAAAATTTAGGTTTTAAATGGCATAAGGCAACCATATTAGGTATTTTAAAAACTATGTAAGATGAATGTGATTTTTAAGCAGTATCATATTGAGTTACATAAAGCAGATGAAAAATAATATATTCTTAGCTACTCTATGTTTTAGGCAACGTTTAATAAGAAGTATGGTTTATTTCTGTTAATAATACACAGAGAGCCAGGCATCATTCTAAGTTTTATATAAACTATTTCTAGTTGACAGTAACTATGCAATGTAGATATTAAAAATTCCATTTAAAATTTTTTTCCAGTTATAGAGTTAACTAACATATAACATTGTGTAAGTTTAAGGTGCATAACTTAATCATTTGATGTACATATATATTGTGGAATGGTTACTAATAAGTTTAGTTAACACCCATCACCTGACATAGTTACAACAATTTTTTCTTGAGATTAGAATTTTTAAGATCTACTCTCTTAGTTACCTTCAAATAGATAATATTGTTAACTACAGTCCTTAGGCTGTACATGTAACTTCCTTTTTATAGATGAGGAAACAGGCTTCAAGGAAGGAATATGATATGACCACAGATATCTAGAATAGGCAGTACAACCCCCAAGTCCACGTTCTTTCTACCACTGTTCTCTGTGATAGAATTTCAGTATGGGGTTAAAGCATCAGGTTTCATACTACCCTAAAGATAAAATACGAATGCATGCTTATTAAAGAACTGTGACGTGTAAAAGGCTTCAGAGAAGGAAATATTTGTGCTACTTTCTATCCGGCACTAGAATCTCTTCCTTTGTAATCCCAAATGGGCCATCTCAGGAAAGCAACGGGTTTGATGATGATGTCAATGAATTACACTTGATTACTGTTAAGAGGTCTCCACTAGATACCTCACTTGCACAGGGCCCTGGGGAGCAGTGCTAAAGCACTGAATCATATAGGTTTTGCTGTAACCACATCCTTATGAGGCTTCCAGCAATAAATCACCTAGACCAAGTCCCAAATTCCATGACCTAACAAGACCACAGGAAATTTTTAAAGATTCGACAATTACCACTGAGTGTTTCTGTTAGTATGCATTCTATAATATACTTGTCAAGAGTTTCATGGGAATTCAAATCAAAAAGACAATTCATTATTTGTATTTCAGAATAAAAGAAATGATTCGACGCCATGGATGACCGGCTCAAGCATTTTCTAAATCTACCAAGTCATCTGTTAGCTTTACCTATGTGTGTCCTTGATATGTATCAAAACTGGCAAACATGGGGTGCAAGAAAAGGAGACCACTACCAAGATTTCCTGGAAATCTATGCAGAAAGTAAGCAGACAGTGTCATGCAGAGGAAGAGCATTCTGCGGGAATGTGATATAAGTGTGAACCCTGGCCGCAGATAAAAATCACGAATGTCATCATCCCCATTTTATAGTTAAGGAGACAGGTCCTGAAAGTGTGTCTCTTGGAGTCTGTGAAACCAAGATAATATATATAAAGTACTTAGCCACAGCACACAGCACAGAGGAAGTACTTAATAAATAATAACCATCACCTGCATAATGATCATTATGATTATTATTGGTATTATCAAAGCACCAGTTTGTGCTTGATACAGGCATGAGAATCATAGGATTCCTGCCTTCAAAGAACCAGTAACACTATAGAAAGATTTTAAAAGTGACTATCATTCAAACGACTAATGTATGTAAATATGAATAATCATTCTGGAGGAAGAGCGAGTAGAATCAGGGAAGGCTTCATGGAGGGTGTGGCATTTGAGCAGGGTCGTAAAAGCCAGACGGGATGTATGTATGTGGAAAGGTGGGGAAAGAATCCAGGCAGAGAGGCGAGCAAGAAAAAAACCCAAAGATCTGAAAGGGCAGCACATGTCCAGAGGGTGACTGAAGCACAGACGTCCAGGTGGTGCATGAGAGGAGGGGCTGAGGCAGCTCGCAGAGGTCTCCTCACCTGGACGGCCAAGAGCACACACCTAAGGCTGCAAAGGCAGCTTCAGGCTTTGCGAGCACAGGCTCTGCAGCTGTCAGGCCCAGATTCAGCTCCCGGACTGACCTCCTCCTGACACTGTGACGTTGACCAAGAAGCCACCTAATGGTTCTGAGCCCCAGTTCCTCATTTGTAAAATGGAGATGGACACCTCCCCCTTACCCATGAAGCTTTTGAGAACGAAACGAATACATAAACCATAAATGTAAAGCACATAATACATTAAGAGACATATAACTAAGTGCTTCAATTAGTGGCAACCATTATTATTGAGGACATCTGGTCTCAACTCCGTATGGAATGAGAACAATTGGGGGACTTCTGAGCACTGAAAAATCATAATCACGTGAAGTGATCAGAGAAGTGTACAGGCTGGGGCATGCGGCAGACTCAGGCCCTTTTTGGTGAAGCCTGCAGGGGTCCAACAAGGTATAATTCACGAGAAAAGGAGTTTAAAGCACATTTTTGGCCTGGAGTCCAAAGCAATTTCACATAATTTGAAGCTGATTTTTGACCCTGTCACCCACGTGCCAAGTGGGGAGCAGGTAGGATGAGCCAGGCGGGGAAGGAGCTGGAGTCACGAAGAGCCACCGGAAGTATAACAATTACTCAAGATTTGAATATGGTGAACGAGAATGAGAACAGCAACCCACGGAAGTGACTAGGAGCTATGAATTCTACCACTTAATCGTTAACTCTTTCATGTATTCTAATACCATCTCCAATCTGCAGATGACGAAACAGCCACAGAGAAGTTTAGTGTCCAAGGTCACAAAGTAAGGAGTGGAGCCAGTATTTGAACTTGGACGATCTTAATGTCTTATCAATCACTACACAGTGCTACCAAACCAAACGGGGCATGTTCCAGAACATGGTGGCAGCAGATTACAATTATTCAGATACTGATGCGATATAGAAAGATCATTATTGTGTTTTCCAAGTCATTACATTGAGTTAGATTCCATTTACCTTAGAAGTTATTGTGCAGTTGACAACACTTGACATTTTGGGGAAATCTGCTCTAACTGCGGGTAGATAATTCGAACACATAATAAAATTAGGAAAACTCATTCCTAGGACAGAAGTGTTGTGTTCTGGAAGCACCATGTTCTAGGCAAGCCTCACTGTATAGCCACGTGAATACTGGTGTTCAGTAAGACGACACGGAAGTGAAAGGCAATTCTGTGGGAAAGCTACCCAAGGACATTACCTAGATACCGTCTCCTAAGGATTTCAGTTGCAAAATGGTTAATATTTTCATTTCAATCTGAGTTTTTAGTCACTCTCGTGACTCATCAAATACACATGCACACACATATACAGAGACAGAGAAAGAGCAGGAATTTGATAAAATGGCAACAAACTGGCAAATCAAGGGGAAGAGTATACAGGTATTCTTTTTTCTATGCTTGCAACTTTTCTGTGGGTTTGAAATTTTGAAGTAAATAAGTGGGTGAAAAATAACCAACTATGACTTTTATAATGTGAAAAAAACAACTGGAAGAAGGAAAATGATTCCATTTATATAGTATTTTATGAAGGCAAGGAGAGGATTTAATGAGCTTAGGAATAAAGAGAGAACATTATTTTGAAACATCTTTACTTTATTATAAAAGTTATATAAATGTTTTTAAAAAGTTATAAAACAGATAAAAGAAAAAAATCACTCATAGTTTCACTGCAAATAGCCATTTTCCACCTTTTTCTCTATAGTGAGGATTTTCTGGGGAGGAGGTTATTATACTACACAGAGTAACTTACTACACACTATTTTAAAAAAATTAACTACTAAAGGAAACACACATCCACACAATTGGTTTTGGCCCAGAAGAGAAGGAGTCCTCTGAAACAGCTCTATTAACAGAGAAAGAGCAGCACAACAACAACAAAAATATGTTCACTGAATGACTAATTTGAGAAAAGTGATGTTCTTAGGTAATGTAGCACAAGAGGATGTTCACAAAAGGAATGGAAGAGAATGTCAGTCAAACAAAAGCAATTATTCAAAGTAAAAAGACAGATTGTGAGAAGATTAACAAGCTAATCCTTGGTAAAGGAATTTTCAGGTTCTGCATGGCCTATTCATACAAAGATAACTCCAACTTGAACTTAAAGGGTTAAGGTTCATTAAAAGAGACAGCAAATACAAAAAGCACTTTGTATACTCATGACACACTATACAAATAAAATTACTGTTCTTATCTGGGAATGGGGGAAGGAAAGACTGCATTCCAACAAGAAAAACACAGGCCACTGTGACTTCTTATAAACATAAACGTCCTAGAATTTGAATGCCTGAAGGGAACAGAAGGTCGCTCAGTCCTATCTTCTATATGGAAGTTACAAACTGGCAGCTGATTTTTTGCATGGGCTTGCATGGTACATGCCAATGCTTCAAAATTTAAAATTTTTACAGGAAATCAAGATTTTTCTAGCTCCTCTATTTCCACCCCCAGTTCTACTGAGATATAGCTGACATACGGCTCTGTATAAGTGGACAGTGGAGAGCACAATGATTTGACTTACATGTATGACGAAAGAATTCCACAGCAAGTTTAGTTAACATCCAGCAGTTCATTTAGATTAAAAAAGGGATCTTCTTCCTTGTGACGCGCTCTCGT